AGTCTCCCACGAGAACAAGGGCTAGAGATTGTAGACTCAAAGGAAGAGCTACCAGATTACCTTCTATGAGGTCATGAGAGGTCATGAAAAGATATCCACGTGCCCTTTCTGCCTCAAATATTTCTGTCTGATATTTCAGAAACAAAAGATGAGGAAGGAGGAGCTGGAACATGAAGTACAATGCTCAGCACCTGAGGGCAACTATGTAACAGCCTTACAATCCATACTAACATCCACTCTGCTCTTGCCACACCACAAGCCATATGCACAATCTGTGGTAAAGCATCTCATAACAAATTAAGCTTTGTTATCCTTAAGTCTTTTATTTCAAGAGAAAAATACACCATAGGGGTAGAGGAAAAGAAAAAAAAGGCAGAGGAAAAGAAAAAAGGCTGTCAGCACCATGAGTCCCTGTAATGCTATAGTATTTCTTAGGTGAAGTGTTCTCAGATTAATTTAAGCTCATTATGTTCCCAACACTTCATCCAAACCGTTCATAGATCCAGTGACTGGTATAACTACAGGCGTTTGAGCAAGGTCACTTTAGCAAAGTACTTGAGAGGTTTCCCAGTGCCGATAGCAACACCAATGCACTTCACCTAAATGCACTTCACATTCTTTCTTACTGTGATCAGTCTTAGGTATCTCAGACAAATGTCTCCTCTTCAGTCTTACAAAAAACAGACAAAAGCCTTAATGCATACGATTTATTAATGACAATATAAGCCAAAAAATTACTATAGGTATACTGAAAAGTTACGTGTGTGAGACAAAACGAGTACTGGAAGGAACCCAATACAGAAAGGGCCATCCCAAGAACTTTACCTAACTTTTCTTGCTTGACACATAGGCCACAGAACTCCATCTTATGTCAAGATCTTTGGTTAAAGCACATCCCTGAAAAGTTAGTACTTTTTGTGCAAATGGTTTGGCAATCTGTATAAATATTCCAGGTTGTCTGGAATATTGTTTGTACTTTACTTACCTGAAAATTAGGTTGAAATACACAGCAGTTGACAGTACTATAATGCCCTCTAAGCATAGTTATCAGTTCTCCAGTGAAAATTGTATAAACAGCAATGGTACTATCATACGGTACAAAGGCAAACTCTGGATTACAGCCACAAGAGATTGTGAATTTGAGTCCTTTTCTACTTTCATTACAGACTTTCCCATAATTCACCTGTAAAATGAAGAATTATGTAGTTAGCTATTATCTAAAACAATAAGAAATAACTTCACATGAAAAGGTCAATTTCATTTCTTCTTTAACACCCAATAAAATTTATTTTAAGCTTCCCAATGTTAATACAACTTTTGAGATTTCCAATTACAGATTTCTATAAAGAGAATAATTTTTCTGTTCATTAAAGTTCACTCTCCTTAATAGCAACTTTAAGAAAGGGACAGAAAGATATGCCTAAAAATCAGTAGTTCCACACTAAGAAACAGAATTTGCATGGGCTGTTGCATGCCAGATCTACACTGAACATCTAAACTATCACTGAAATTAGAAATGGTTCAGGAATTACCACCTTAAACATTTCCCTAGATGATCCAACATAATAATTTTCTCTCAGATACTGAAACAATTAAAAGAACTCCTTATGCACAACAGTATACAGTTACAAATCATAGAATCATGGAATAGTTTGGGTTGGAAAGGACCTTTAAAGGTCATCTAGTCCATCCCCCCTGCAATTAGCAAGGACGTCTACAGCTAGATCAGGTTGCTCAGAGCCCCGTCCAGCCTGACCTTGAATGTTTCCAGGGATGGGGCATCTACCACCTCTCTGGGCAACCCATTCCAGTGTTTCACCACCCTCATTGTAAAAAATTTCTTCCTTATCCCTAGTCTAAATCCACCCTCTTTTAGTTTAAAACCATTACCCCTTGTCATACTGCAATAGGCCCTACTAAAAAGTCTGTCCCCATCTTCCTTATAAGCCCCCTTTAAGTACGGAAAGGCTGCTATAAGGTCTCTCCAGAGCCTTCTCTTCTTCAGGCTGAACAACCCCAACTCTCTCAGCCTATCTTCATAGAAAAGGTATTCCAGCCCCCTGATCATTTTTGTGACCGTCCTCTGGACCCACTCCAACAGGTCCATGTCCTTGCTGTGCTGAGGACCCCAGAGCTGGACACAGCACTCCAGGTGGGGTCTCACCGGAGCAGAGTAGAGGGCCAGAATCACCTCCCTCGACCTGCTGGCCACGCTTCTTTTGATGCAGCCCAGGTGACAGCTGGCTTTCTGGGCTGTGAGCGCACATTGCCGGCTCATGTCCAGCTTTTCATCAACCAGTACTCCCAACTCCTTCTCCTCAGGGCTGCTCTCGATCCCTTCATCCCCCAGCCTGTACTGATACTGGGGATTGCCCTGACCCAGGTGCAGGACCTTGCATTTGGCCTCATTGAACCTCCTGAGGTTCACACAGGCCCATTTCTCCAGCTTGCCCAGGTCCCTCTGGATGGCATCCCATCCCTCAGGCGTGTCAACTGTACCACTCAACTTGGTGTCATCTGCAAACTTGCTAAGGATGCACTCAATTCCACTGTTGTTGTCATTGATGATATTAAACATTACTGGTCCCAATACTGCAAGAATTTAGTCCATGGATTGAAGAAAAATTGATCTACACTACTTCCTATGCTGTAAGTGCCCTTTGTTTATCGGAGTTGACTGATGTTGCAGAAAACTACATTTCTGAAGTATATATGGCAGTGGGACGGCAAAGAACAGAAGGATCAGTCTAGACAACTCAAGAACTAGCCCTAAGGATTTCTCAGAAAGTCATCCCTTGCTCAGGGACAAAGGAACAGAGGAAGAACATCTGCAATGTAGGGAAGATTCTGCATCTCTCTCTCGAGTTCCCAAGAAACAGCAGAAGAATACGTAGTATGAAAACAACTGAATGACAAGCAGAAGGATGGCCTAAGTAAAGGGCAAAGAAAACGGATGAGAAGAAGGAGACTCATGAAGAAGAAGTAAATAAAGAATAACTTGCTAAATTGTTATGGACTAGTTAAGAGTGATAAAAAAAAGCTTCTAACCAAAGCTAAATCACCACTGAGAAATTCAATACTGTTCCCTATAAGGGCAGCTAGGATAGGAGCAAATGCTACATTTCTAAGACCTGGCTTGTGAGGTGTGTCGGAAGCCTTGCAAATCAAAGTAGTATATGAAGTATAGCTTATTAGCGTCTGTACGTTTCAAGCTCTTGACAAATCCTACACAGGTAAAAATCTCACCAAAGGTGGAAAGTGGAAGCTACAAAGTATTCCAGTTGGACATATCAGTCTAACTAGGTCCTATCAGATATCAAAAGGGTATTAATGAGAAAATACAGAAATATATTCATGAGAACAGTATAGCTTAACTGTAAACAACCTTAATTAAAGCATTAGAATTTTGTCAAATAAAATATACTTTTTTTTTTTTTTCATGAAGAGGGAGAAGTCCACTATGAACATCTGAAATTCACACATTATTTTATGGCTTAAAAGAAGCATTTCTTCTAATAAAAATAACAGTATTTTAAATTTTAATAAATTAATACTACATAGCATTATATAAAAAATATTTTGTTTTCAAATAGTATTGTGCTAAAATCTATGCTGTTAATTTCTGCTGATAAACAGAGATTCCCTTACATGTACAATGTTAGTAAAGCTCTCTGGGTTAATTTTAAAGCTCCCTACCTAAGCCTCCTTGCCTATAGTTAAAAAAAATATCCTAAGTGTGAAATCTTTTGACTATAAGCTAACAGATTTGCAAAGTCTAGCAGGTAAATATTCTAACAGAAATATCTTGCTTTGTCAGGTTCTTGATCCATACTACATCAATTGCCTGAGTCCAAAGTTTGAGGCAAATAGAAGCATCAGTCAGCATGAGCCAGGCAAGAATACTTGTTGCTCTATTTTTAAAGTACGCTCTTTCATAGCAAAGAGCACTTATGTAAGAAAAGTATAATAAAAAGGAGTTCTGAGAAAATCTCTCTCAATCATCATAAAAATGTATACAAAGACATTTCGATTAGCATACAAGTAGATTGATGTTTTTTCATATTGAGAGGATATTTTCATGAGATGTGAAGCTTATGTCACATCCTTTGTGGATAATACTGCTCATTCTGTAGACAGTGTTTGTAAATACTGTGTTAAATCTTGTTAATGCTAGTCATTTTAAAGAGGCATATTACTCTGCTGATAAAGAGCAATTAAACTCCTTTACACTGCATGTGAGCAGTAACAGCAACAATTCCCAAGCCACAGCACTGCTCATAACAAAGGCATGTACAATGAAAGGGAGGAGTAGAGGCTGGGAAAAGTAAATTATATGGATATACTCAGTGTAAATGTTCCTGCTTGACAGAGGAGCAAAGGATGCTGCCAAAACAAGAACTGAAGAAAGATCTTAAAAACTGGTGTTGTTCTTTGAGCACGCAGACAAACAGAAAACCTGCTTCCTTCTGTTTGATTCTTCCCATACTCAGTGAATCGGGACTTCCTATTCATTTTTTGTGATAAAGGAAGAACGCAAGATGCATACGACTCCAACATTCATTTCTCTTACTAACTGAAACAATCCACTAAGCCCCAAATTTGGTTCATTGCTCAAAAAAATTCACATGCATGGCTTAATTTCTATACCTTTTGAAAGGTATAAAAAAATTATGGATATCAAAAGGACTGGCTAGTAGGGGAAATAAAGGAACTACGGTGTGAACCTGTATTACCTGTACATGCATTTATTCATCTGCTGGTGCCTTGAAATTATTTTAAGCAATACCTCTAGGCAGTGTGTGAAAATACAGTACTCTGGACAATATAATTCTGCACTTGAAAAAGCAAGGCAGGATCAAGATATTCCATACCAAATAAGAAAATTGTAAACTAGCCTATGAAACAAGTCAATGAACTAACAGGCACAAAAAACCAAAAAAACAGCGATCCAGCTGGTGACAGGAGAGTGAACAAACTGTATTATCTGCTTTGGTGATGGTGATTTGAAGACAGAAAGATGTCTGTATATGAAGTGCTGAGAACAAGCTGGCAAATACGAGCAGTGTGGAGACAGAAAAGGCCTTTCATTTAAGTGTCTATAAGGAATTCTTTTTGCTGTGTTCTGAAACTAAGCAGCAAAAGTAAAAGATTTCTAAGGTAGACTAAATTTTTTTCCTTTCCTGATAGCAATGACAGACCATAATCATGACTGGCTAAACTCACATGGAAACTGACTTACCTAGTATGTCCTTCTTTCAAAATAAACACAGGAAACAATTTTCTTTACTGAACAGAAAATTAAAACAGCAACCTTCAGCAAAAAAACAAGCCATAGAAAGGACTGGAGCAGCACTAGATATTTAATTGCACCCTTGCCACCATTTGGTTGCAATGCAAATGTAGAGGGATAAATATTTTTATCACTGCTATACAACTCCACAAAAACACAAAGAAAGTTGTGATAAAGCCAGGCAGTTAATCAGTGAAACTCTCCGGTATGGATAACTGCCCTGTGGATGGCATACTGACAACTAATAGTTAAAAAAAGAAGTTTCTACGAACAGTCACTGCATATTAAGGTTTACGTTGCTGTCTGAAGTGTTTTCAGCTACGCTTACAAATCAATGAACTTAAAGTTACCATATTCAATCTTTAAGTAGATTCAGGCTTCTCAATACTCTATGTTTTTTATAGTAAGTAGAAATAAGAAAGGAAATCTGGAAAAAAAAATGCTCACAAAATATTGTAATGATGAGACTAAGCAGCTATATCCTTTATGAAAACGAATAAATATCCAAAGTTGTAATGACAATTCAACGAATTATAAATCTTCTAAAATGAAGTGGAACCAAAAACATAACCAAAGATTCCCGAAAACTTACTAATGTGTTTTCTCCAGTGGAGCTGTTCCAGAGTCGCATCCGATCATCTGTACCAATGGTCAACAGATGAAGTCCATCATTTGTATAGCATAAACCATTAACTCTCCCATTGTGAGCCGTGTTTGCTGTCAGGAAAAAGAGCTGGTTCAGATTTCTACAGAAGAATTCCTATTTTGTATACACATTTTTATTTCAATGTATAGCACTGAAAGTACCGTTTAAACGGTAAAATACCAGTAAATTAATAATTTAACTCTTGGTTTATAAGAGCATCTGGCTGGTGACTGGTCACCAGCGGTGTTCCTCAGGGCTCAATTCTAGGGCCAGTGCTGTTCAATGTATTGATCAGTCATCTGGATGCAGGACTTGAACACACCTTTAGCAAGTTTGCTGATGATACCAAACTGGGAGGTGATGTTGACTGTCTCAAGAGACAAGAGGCCGTGCAGAGGGATCTCGATAGAGTGGAGCACTGGGCAATGATTAATGGCATGACATTTAACAAGAACACAATGTCGTCGTCTGCACCTAGGATAGAGTAATGCTGGGCACAAGTGTGAACTGGGAGAGCAGTGGCTGGAGAGCAGCCCTGCAGAAAGGGATCTGGGGGTGCTGGTCGAC